ACTCAAGAGGCTGACATGGAAGGATTGCTTGAACCCTGCAGATTGTGGCTGCAATGAGCTATGATGGCACCACTGCACCCCAACTTGGGTGACAGTGAAATGGTGTCTCAGAAAGTAAAAATAAAAAAATAGGCCAGGCCTGGTGGCTCACACCTGCAATCCTACCTCTTTGGGATGCCAAGAGATGGAGGGCGTGGGCAGATCACCTGAGGTCAGGAGTTCGAGACCAGCCTGACCAACATGGAGAAACCCCATCTCTACTAAAAATACAAAATTATCCAGGCATGATGGTGTGTGCCTGTAATCCCAGCTACTCAGGAGGCTGAGGCAGGAGAATTGCTTGAATCTGGGAGGCAGAGGTTGCAGTGAGCCGAGATCGCGCCACTGCACTCTAGCCTGGCACCTGACAACAAAGTGAGACTGTCTCAAAAAAAAGAAAAATAAAATAAATAAATTCCTTATTTGTGTAGGACAGTATGGCAAAGCTGGAAAGAATATGGATATGTGTCAGAGGATGTGCATGCGTGTGCGTGTGTGTGCACGAGCATGTGTTCCTGCGTTCCTGCCTCTCCCTACTGAGCACATCCCCCTCTCATCCCTCTCAGTGGGTGGGCTCTCAGCCCTAGCTTCATACCCCAAAGGTGCTCAGGGCAAGAGCGTTGGAGTCAGACTTTGTGGCCTTTTGTAAGTGACTTTGCCTCTAAGCCTCAGTTGTAAAGTGGAGATACTAATGGTTCATGTTTACAGTGTATTGAGCGCTTACTACGTGCCAGTGTCCTTAAAAGCTTTGCACATGTTACCTCATTTAATCCTGGTAACAGTGCCGTGAATCCCATTACTATTTTCCCTGTTTTTACAGACAAGGCGCTTTGGAGGTCAAATGACTTGCCCAAGATAACAGGGCTAGTGTTGTAAACACAGAGATGTGCTGGCCAGATCAGCCTTTGAGGAAGGATTTGCACCCAGCTGCAGGGAGTGCAGGCTGCAGACAGGCTCCAGCTGTCAGCTCCTTCAGCGTCTGCCTCTGGTGCAGACGGCAGCCTCACTGGAAGTGATGCCTTTTCTAGGCAGCCTACACCCAGTGCTCAAGCAAAGTGGGGCAATCACAGAGCTCCCCGCCCTCGACCCAGGCTTTGTCAAGCCTGTGTTGCTGTTTGACTTCTTCCTCTGCCCAATTCTGTTTCCTCTCCCTTCCTTTCACAGGTGCTGATTCATAAAAAACATTGAACACCCCAACTTCTCAGCGTCTGCTTCTGGGACCCCAACCCTCAATAGTTTTTTGTTTTTTGTTTTTTTTCTGAGACAGAGTCAGCCAGGCGCGGTGGCTCACGCCTATAATCCCAGCACTTTGGGAGGCCGAGGCGGGTGGATCACAAGGTCAAGAGATTGAGACCATCCTGGTCCACAAAGTGAAACCCCGTCTCTACTAAAAATACAAAAATTAGCTGGGCATGGTGGTGCGCGCCTGTAGTCCCAGCTACTCCGGAGACTGAGGCAGGAGAATTGCTTGAACCCAGGAGGGGGAGGTTGCGGTGAGCCGAGATCGTGCCATTGCACTCCAGTCTGGGTAACAACAGCAAAACTCCATCTCAAAAAAAAAAAGAGACAGAGTCTCACTCTGTTGCCCAGGCTGGAGTGCAATGGCATGATCTCGGCTCACCGCAACCTCCGCCTCCTGGGTTCAAGCAATTCTCTTGTCTCAACCTCTCGAGCAGCTGAGATTACAGGCACCTGTCACCACACCTGGCTAATTTTTGTATTTTTAGTAGAGACAGAGTTTCACCATGTTGGCCAGGCTGGTCTCGAACTCCTGTCCTCAAGTGATCCCCCTGCCTTGGCCTCCCAAAGTGCTGGGATTACAGGGGTGAGCCACCACACCTGGCTAACCAACCCGCAATATTTGTAAGTGTCAGGACTGAGATCTGAGCTCAGTCTGGCTTCCGACCACCATGTTACACTGCCTCTCCAAATAAAATATAACCTTTGGGGATTATGGTATTAACGAGGTAGTGGCTGGTACATAGTAAGTGCTCAATAAATGGTAGTTCCTCGTATTTTTACCCCAGACTATTGCTGACCTTTTCCAGGATGCCGGTAGTACAGGTTCCCCAGCTTAGTTCGAGGGCGGGTGCTACAATGAGAGTCCCAGCTCAAGGGAGGGCCGGGCTCAGCTCAAGGGAGGGCCAGGCTGAGGCTGGGAGAGGCAATGGGGTAGGGTGGCTGGATAGTACACCCTGCCCTGAAGGAAGTATGGAGGTGGGGCTGAGAAACAACAGGGGGACTAAACCCAGGGGCTGGAAAGATACATGCCCGCTTCCAGGCACAGCCAAGTTGAGCCCGGTGCCTGGTATGCAGGTCCAGTGAATTGGCCAAAGAACAGGCAGACAAGGCTAGGAGTCCCTAGGAGTCCTCTGGATTCTATCAGACTCCGTGGCAGACTCATGATATTTTCTGTCTTCCCTATGTATGTATTACCCCACCCCATAAAGGGCTAGGTCTCTCCTTTCTGTCCTTCCCTGTACACCTGCCCAGAAAAAATGACTTTTTTCCTCTTGTCTGCTGGTTTCCCTTTCTTCTCAAGAGGGAAGTCCTTTCTAAAGTCTGACCTCCATCTCTTGTGCTGCACTGGCTAACACCAGGGATTTGGGTTTCTATTCAGAACGGGGAAGAGGAACCTAACTCAGCTCTCTTAAGGAGGGATAAACATCATCATTTATCAGAGTAGGGCATACTCAGAGGCTCCCTGACTTTTGCCCCCGCCACCAGATCCTCCCCGACTCCCTGCAGCTTTCTTTCTGAAGGAATGAGGAGCCCCAGCGGTTTCTGGTAGATATAAAACAGGAGGGGGCCCTCTCTGGCTCTAACAATCTCTTTCTGGGTCTCTCAGGCTTCCTCTTGCTTCAGGGACCCCAACTCACCCTTGAAGACAAAGTTATAATCTTCCTCCGTTCCATTCCCCATCTTGGCTCCGCATGGAGGGTGCAGGTGTCTTCGGGGCCAGAGGTGACAAGTCTGTGTGTTGGCTCAATGCCTTCAACCCTCAGCTCTCAAAAGATCTGGGCCTGCCCCTCCTCTCATTGGGGGTAAGGAGACTTTTGCAGCCAGGGGGATTGGGGGCCAACTCAAGGTTAGGCAGGGCCTAGGGAAGATCAGCTCTGGCAGGTGGGGGTGTGTAAGGAAGCTGAGAGGACGGAAGCTGAGAACAGGAAGAGCTGGGTGGCTGGAGACCTGGGGCCCAGGTGGGTGGAGAGACGATGACGTCAGACAGGTTCGGCAGGTTGGGTGTCTGCTCTCAGCCTGGGCTCCCGAGAGCTGGAGAACCAGCTCCAGGGATAAGAGTCAGGGAAGTGAGACACAGGGACAGGACCTTCAGAGACAGCCCACTGAGGGCTGAGTGTGCATTGCTGGGCTTCTGGAATCTGTGGTGAGGGCAGGCCCCGAAACTAATGAGCAACAAATAGCCCCTCAGAAACCCACTCTCGGCCAGGCGAGGTGGCTCACGCCTGTAATCACAGCACTTTCGGAGGCCTGAGGTCAGGGGTTTGAGACTAGCCTGGCGAACATAGTGAAACCCAGTCTCTACTAAAAATACAAAAATTAGCCAGGTGTGGCGGTAGGCGCCTGTAATCCCAGCTACTTGGGAGGCTGAGGTAGGAGAATCATTTGAACCCGGGAGGCAGAGGTTGCAGTAAGCCAAGATCGTGCCATTGCACTCCAGGCTGGACAACAGAGTGAGACTCCATCTCAAAAAAAAAGAAAAAGAAAAAGAAACTCACTTGGCTTGCTTTTTCTTCAGAGCTCCTGGTCAGGGGGTACACTGGGAGAACCAGAGTAAGGGACATTGGGCCAGGGGGTGACAGAACACCAGTCACCCTGCTGCAGTGCGGAGCTGGGGGAGCCGCATCATGGCCACAGTAATTTCTGCCCCTCCTTAACAGCCCAGGGCCTGGGATGGGCAGTGTTTCTCATCTTGGGTGGAGCTGGGACTCGAAACCTACCCACTTCTTTGGGATGGGTTCCTTTCTATGGCACTGGGGAAGGGGGCTGGTAGCTCCCTATACAGACCTGCTTTAAGGACACTGGGTAGGGGGAGAACCTGGGGCAGAAACACACAGCTGGGGTGAGTGGTCTGAGTGTAGGAGCAGGATCTGGAGATGAAGGCCTTTGGGAGGTCTGGGTTACTTCTAGTCCCTGTACAGGACCTGAGGCCTCACAGCAAAGGCATCATGTCTACAGAGGGCTTCAGGATCTGGGGAGAGTCTGTGTAAGCACATGAACACCTGGAGGAAGAGGAAAGGAATGGCTCATTCCAGGCTACTGGGGCACCCTCCCAACACCACGAATAGAAAAGGCACTCACTGGGCAGTGGCAGTGGTTCATGTCTGTAATCCCAGCACTCTGGGAGGCAGGAGGATGATTTGAGCCCAACTGGAGACCAGCCTGGGCAACAGGTGGGACCTCATCGCTGCAAAAAAAAAAAAAACCAAACCCCAAAACACACAAAACCCCCCAAAATTATCTAGGCATGATGGTGTGTGCCTATAGTCCCAGTGACTCAGGAGGCTGAGGTAGAATCGCTTAAGCCAGATGTTGAGCCTGCAGTGAGCTGAGATTGTGTGTGTCACTGCATTACAGCCTGGGCAACAGGGAGACCCTCTCAAAAAAAAAAAACCTGGAATAAAACTGTGACTTCCCAGGGCCTTTATATTCTCTGGGCAACACAACCCCAGCAGACCCTTGCTCCTCTGAGCACACTCCCACAGTTTTGCCAATGAGGTGGGTAAGACTCTGTTCTGAGCAGCAGGGTCTAGGTAAGGCCATGCCATTGGTAAGGCCAAGGACTATTTGACATAACTGCCCAGAACCATTTGGTCATGGGAGGTCATGGTGAAGGGGTGGGCAGAAATCCATCCTTGCAGAACACGAGGAATCCTAGAAGCAATGCCTGCTTCTTCCTATCTTCTCTGATTCCACCCAACCAAGAAAGCAGCCAAGACACATGACCAGAATTGAAGTTTATTCTTAGAAAAAACAAAGTCCCATCCTCCCGGCATCGTCCAAGAAGGTTCTTCTAGGAGGCCCCACCCCTCCAAACGGTCATGTCTCTTTTCTGACCCCAGCTTCCACCAATGCCATTAAGATGCTGCAACCTGGGTGAGGGGCTCCTCCAGGTACTGCACCAAAGCCTGGGCCTATAAGAAGGAGAACAGAAATCAGTCCCACACATGGCCAGCCCCTGGGAATCCCAAATCCAGGTCTGTTCCCTGTGCCATAGGGAGCAACCAGCCTCAACCCCCACCTGCTCTTGGGAGCTGGCCCATACCAGAAATGCACTAAGTAGACATGAAGACTCTAAAAACAGGGTCCTGGTGGGAGCGGACACGGTGAGCTAAAAACAGGGTCCTGGTGGGAGCGGACACGGTGAGCTAAAAACAGGGTCCTGATGGGAGCCGACATGGTGAGGGAGCACAAAGGCTGGGCCCGGGGCTGTGGGGGGATGGGCATATACACACCTTGGCCTTGAGCATTCCAAAGCCCACGGTCTCCTTGGCATACATACACAGCAGAAGGTTGGCCACTCGGGTGATGGCTACACGGCCCTCCTGGTGGAGGTGATAGGATGGGATGTGATGTTCTGCTTGGCACCCTTAGCACCCGCCTTCCCCAAAGGTTTCTCTGGCCCCAGAGAGACTATATTTTTTCCCCAGGCCCTGGGCACAGCAGGAGGTTCAGCAGAAAAGCTTTTGGCCACAGCCCTGGACATTGGGTTCTGAGCCCAGGTTCCAGCCTCAGCATAGCCATCTACTAACCATGTTACTCTGGGAAACTTAGTCTTTCAGAAACTCAGTTTCTCTTTCTGTAACCCCCACCTCATCCCAGTTGGTGAGGGTGCCAATATACATGAAATTTTGTGTCTGCCAACAGTCATCCAAACGAGTGATGCTATTACTATGAGCTCACCCCATAGACACTGAGAGGAGCATGGGAGCAGTAACCCAACTGATATTTCTTCTCTTTTCCCAGGGTAATGTTTTTCAAACTGCAGGTTTGACCCCACAGTTAGGAGATAAATTAAGAAGGTTGATCAGCATTAAAAAAGAAGAAATGAAGTATATTACATGTAGTAGGAAAAGTACTGTTTCTCTCTTTTTTTTAATTTTTTTTTTTTGAGACGGAGTTTCGCTCTTGTTACCCAGGCTGGAGTGCAATGGCACGATCTCGGCTCACCGCAACCTCCGCCTCCTAGATTCAGGCTATTCTCCTCCCTTAGCCTCCTGAGTAGCTGGGATTACAGGCACGCACCACCATGCCCAGCTAATTTTTTGTATTTTTAGTAGAGACGGGGTTTCACCACGTTGACCAGGATGGTCTTGATCTCTTGACCTCGTGATCCACCTGCCTCGGCCTCCCAAAGTGCTGGGATTACAGGCCTGAGCCATCGCACCCGGCCCTAAAATGTCTTTCTTAAAAATTTTTCCTTTTTATTTTTTTGTAGAGATGAGGTCTTGCTAGGTCACCAAGGCTGGTCTTGAACTCCTGGCTTCAAGTAATCCTCCAGCCTCAGTCTCCCAAAGTGTTGGGATTACAGATTACAGGAATGAGGAACTGCACTCAGCTTTAAAAGGTTTTTTTTTTTTTTTTTTTTGAGACAGAGTCTCACTCTGTCACCCAGGCTGGAGTGCAGTGGTGCCATCTCAGCTCACTGCAACCTCCGCCTCCCGGGTTCAAGTGATTCTCCTACCTCAGCCTCCTGAGTAGCGGGGATTATAGGCACACGCCACCAAGCCAGGCTAATTTTTATGTGTGTGTGTGTGTGTGTATATATATATAGATATATTTTAGATTGAGTTTCACTCTTGTTGCCCAAGCTAGAGTGCAATGGTGTGATCTTGGCTCACTGCAACTTCCACCTCCCAGGTTCAAGTGATTCTCCTGCCTCAGCCTCCTGAGTAGCTGGGATTACAGGCGCATGCCACTACACCTGGCTAATTTTTTGTATTTTTAGTAGAAATGGGGTTCCACCATGTTAGCCAGGCTGGTCTTGAATTCCTGACCTCAGGTGATCTGCCAGTGTCGGCCTCCCAGAGTGCTGGAATTACAGGTGTGGGCCACTGCACCCGGTCTAATTTTTGTATTTTTAGTAGAAATGGGGTTTCACCAGGTTGGACAGGCTGGTCTCAAACTCCTGACCTCATGATCTGCCTGCCTCGCCTTCCCAAAGTGTTGGGATTACAGGCGTGAGCCACAGTGCCTGGCCCCTTAAAATGTATTTCTTATGGCTTGGTTGTGGTCAAAACGTTTGAAAGCTATAGCACCAGCTCTAGGCATTCACTAAGCGTCATATGTTGAACTAAAATAGCATTGGTTGTGCAGGTGGCAGAAGAGAATAGCAGCTGGGTTACAATGAAGACCCTTCCTAGAGAGTTCACCCTCTGGCCGATATGGAAAAAAAAAAAAAGTAAGTTCAACAAATTTTTACTAGGTATTCATTCTACGCGGGAAACCAAGCACTGCACTCTCTGCCTCTCTGACACCATCTCCTACCACCCTCCATTCATTTTCATGCAGCTCCAGCCATACCAACCAACTCTGTTGATCCTTGGGCAGGCACAATTCTGCCTCAAGGCCTTCGTGCTTGCTGTTCTGTCCAAAATATTCTTCCCCTAGATAGCCACATGGCTTGCCATGACCTTTCTTCAGATCTTTGATCAAATGTCACCTTTTCAGTGAGACTGTCTCTGACACATACACCCAACAAACTCATACTTTCACTTCCCTCCTTTCTTTACATTGCATTTTCTTTTCTTTTTTTTTTTTTTTTGATACGGAGTTTCGCTATTGTTACCCAGACTGGAGTGCAATGGCACGATCTCGGCTCACCGCAGCCTCCGCCTCCTGAGTTCAAGCAATTCTCCTACCTCAGCCTCCCAAGTAGCTGGGACTACAGGCGCGCGCTACCATGCCCAGCTAATTTTTGTATTTTTAGTAGACACAGGGTTTCACCTCTTTGACCAGGATGGTCTCGATCTCTTGACCTCGAGATCCACCTGCCTCAGCCTCCCAAAGTGCTGGGATTACAGGCGTGAGCCACTGCGCCCGGCCTTACATTGCATTTTCAATACCTAACATACTACATATTTTACTTATTTTAAATAATGTGGCCGGGCACAGTGGCTCATGCCTGTAATCCCAGCACTTTGGGAGGCTGAGGCAGGTGGATCACTTGAGCCAAGAGATCGAGACCAGCCCGGGCAACATGGCAAAACCCAATCTCTGCAAAAAATGCAAAAATTAGGGAGGTGTGGTAGTGGATGCTTGTACTTCCAGCTACTTAAGAGGCTGAGACAGGAAGATCACCTGAGCCCAGGGAGGTCGAGGCTGCAGTGAGCCATTATTGTATCACTGTTAAGATTTATTAGGGCTGGGGGTTTTGCCTTTCTGTTTGCTATTTTTTTCCCTAGTCCTGAGAACACTACAAGGACCTAAATACTTATTGACTAAACAGATACTAAGAGGTTCACAAGCTAACGGCAACTTCCCCTTTCTGGACTTCATTTTCCCTTGTTTGTAACCGTGAGGGGTTGGACTAGGGTCTGGAGACCACCATGGTTCTGTGAGTCGGCGAGGCTGGGATGACAACACTTCGTGTTTGCACATCGTTCTACTGTTTATACCCATTATTTCATCCGATCTTCACAACCATCCAGGAGGGGAGCGGGAAAAGGGAAATAGCTGCTTCCTCCTTAGACATGAGGTAAGGAAGCTGAGAGAGGTTAGGCGACTTACCCAAGGTTCCACAACTGATAAGTGGATGGCTGAAACCAGAACCCAAGTCAGACCTCTCAGGTCCAGGGCTCCTTCCTCACCACCATTTGATGAATAGGGTCCTGCCTATTACGAATGCTGCTGCAGACCAACTCTTAGTAATCTTCCGGAGACACTGTCCCTGCCCCTCCAACCATCCAGGATGGGGTCCGGGTCACCCCCTTGGGATCCCCTTGGGGGGCAGGGGAAGTCTGGCTTCCCTCTCCATACCATGCAGTCCATGAGGATGAATTTGAGATTGTCTTCATTAAACGCTTGGTTCCCATTCCGGTCGTAGGCGGCCCAGATGTTACTGGCTATGGCCGCAGTGACCCGAGCGTCAGTGTCCCCGTAACCCGAGTAGGCCAGCAGTGATCCCTCGTTATTCAGCAGCCTGGTGAGGGGCGGGGAAGGATAACGTTGTGCCCAGGACAGAGAGTAAAACGCCTGGGTTTCCAGCCCAAGTCCCACCACTAGCACAGCCAGCAAGGGTCTGGGCTTAGTGTGTCCTGGAACGCGCCCTAAGCACCCAGCACACCGGCTTCCCTTTTCGAGAGGGTATCTACTGGCCAGCACTCCCAGCCGCTGCCCGCTCTGCCGCCTCCTCCCTTCCCGGCGATCCTTCCCCACCCCTCCCTCAGGGAGCCGCGCGCAGCCCAACTACGGGGCTGGCCGCTCGGGTCCGTGGTCCGCACTCACAGGGTGCTCTGGACTCCTCCAGTGTTGGCTTGGCTTAGCACCTGGGTTAAAGCCTTGGGGCGCAACATGCCTACGGCTTCTAACCCTGGGCTTTTGCACCCAGATCCTCCGAGGTGCCTCCCGCGAGCCGCTGACTTCTGCTTCCCGTAGTCCCGTGGCCTGCTTCCAAACGCCCTGGGAGTTGTAGTTTCCTCGCCTGGTTATTGTAGTTCCGACTCAACTCCCCACCCCGCCGCGGGCGGCTCTGGGAATCGTAGTTCCTTGTGGCCTCGCGAGGCACCCTGGGAACTATAGTTCGCCTTTCCAGGCTGACCACGCGGTTGCGGGGGGCAAAAAGAGCGGGAGTGGAAGGACAGTGGCAGCACTGGAAGGACATTTAACTCCTTCGGGGAGAAAGGAGTCAACGTGTCCGCTTGGCAGTCCACGATTCAATAATTAGACTACATCCTTATATTTGTCAGGCATGCCTTTGGTTACTTTCAAAACAGTTTTCTCCGTTATGCACAATTTTGTGCGATGAGGCGAGGGGAACTGTTACTATTATCTTGAGAAAACCAAGGCTCAGAAAGGCCACGCAGCCAAAACCCAACTCCCTGGAACCATTCTTAATAGACCAGTTAGGCCGTGACCCTCGGAGCTATAGGGTCAGTCCCAGAGCTAAGATCCTAAGGACTTAACTTGGTGGGAAAACCCAACCTCCAGGTCGGGAAAGGCCCCTGGCCTGGAAAGGACTTTGGGCTTCCAAGAAAGACCAAGTTATTACAGGGAATGGAGATAAAGCGGCGACACAGAAAGTCCTTTGTCCCGGAGCGGAGTTAGACGCGGAGGGGGCGGGGAAGCTTTGGGCTGGAAGGGACCGCGGCACGGCTCTGGCGGGCAGCGTTGGGCCTCTGTCTCCCCGAGGAGTCCGTCCCCGCCCCCGCAGTGAAGGGCACGCCCCTCCCCATGCCCAGAGCGCCCCCCAGGGGCCCCAGCCTGGCGAGCCCCGGGCCTGGCTCCGGACCCGGGGCTCGGCCCTGGGCGGAACCCGCTGCAGTGGCCCCCCCGGTCCGCCCGGGGCGCTGTGGCTGCGGCTGGTCCGGAGGGGGCGGTGAAGCCTCGGGGAGGGGAGGAGAGAGGAGGGGAGGAAGGGGAGAGGTGGAGAGAGGGGAGTGTTGGAGGCGCTGGAGCCGAGCCGGGCTGGCCGGGCGGGCGGGGAGGAGGAGGAGCTGGACGGGCTGGCGGGCGGCCGGGTGGCGGCGGCGGCGGCATGGCGGAGCCGAGCGGGGCCGAGACGAGGCCCCCCATTCGGGTCACCGTCAAGACCCCCAAGGACAAGGAGGAAATTGTAATCTGCGATCGAGCCTCGGTCAAGGAGGTAGTACGGCTGGCGGGGGGCGGAGGGAGCGCGGAGGAGGGGTCTGTGAAGAGATGGGGGGCCCTCCCTGAGGTTCTGGCGTCCCGGAGGGCCCCGGAGAGGAGGGCGAGGGCCAGCTGGGACTCCGTGGAGCTGGAGGAAGGGAGAGGCGGGTAGGGGGCGCCCTGCGAGGGGAGATCTAGGGGAGCGTGGCGCGTGTTGAGGGGCGGGTTTTGCCGTGTGGCCTGGGCTGGGGGCGTGGTGGAGAGTGAGGAGGGGACACTTTGCACCGGGAAGAGGGAAGGATCCTGGGTTTGAGGGGAGTGTACCCGAGTGGAGGCCGCGGCAAGGTGCTAACCGAGAGAAGTGGCCGGGGGCTGGCGAAGAGCGCCGGCGCCTACTCGGTGCCTCAGAGAACGCCCAGTGTTCTGTGAGCGGCGGGGCTGTCGGGGGAGGATTTCCCTGTGCCCAGATCCTTCCCACTCTTTCAAATCGACGTGGTTACATTTGGTTCTCAGCTCTTCTGAGATTTACACGGTGTGCAGTAGGTGCTCAATAAAATCTTGTTGAATGAGGGACTGTTGCCTGTGTTCGCCACCCCCTGTGGCCACTCCATAATTTCACATAGGCGGGGCTTAAGACAGGCCATCTGGTTGGAAGAGAGGGATCTGGAAGCTGCCTCTGCTTAACAAGTGCACTGTTTTTACTTAAAGTGTGTGTTGTGTTGTGTTGTGGAGGGGCCAATAGAATTTGGGGAGTCTAACTCCATCTTTTCTCCCTCCCTAACCACAGAGAATTACTAAATTTCAGAATTTAAATACCGTACTGTTCCTTGCAAAGCCGAATTTGAAAACGGCTTTCATTGAGAGGTAGTGTGTTTAGGTGAGAGCCTGGACTTTGGTGTCAAGCTTTGAGTTCTGTTCTGCCTAGGGCAAGTTACCTTATCTTGCTGATTCTTTGAGGCTGGCGTGATGGCTCTTGCCTGTAATCTCAGCACTTTGGAAGCCCAAGCCTGGTGATCACCTGAGGTCAGGAGTTCAAGACCTGCCTGGCCAACATGGTGAAGCCCCCTCTCTACTAAAAATACAAAATTAAGCCGGGCATGGTGGTGTGTGCTTGTAGTCCCAGCCACTCGGGAGGCTGACGCAGGAGAATCACTTGCACCCGGGAGATGGAGGTTGCAGTGAGCCAAGATCGCACCACTGCACTCCAGCGTGGGTGACAGAGCAAGATCTCAAGATAAATATAACAATAAATAAAATGAAGATAATAATTAATATACTAGATCTTTAACTCGTGCATAGATAGTGCTCAGTAGCTGGCATCTACTTGTTGTAGTTGTTACAAGAACACTGGGAATAGAGAGGAGAGAAAATTGGGTCTCAGAAGGCTAAAGGTCCAAGGCTGTTGACCTAGTTGAGACGGGGCCGGGGGGACGTTGAGGGGGAATGGGGAGGCTGCCCTGCCTCACAGAGAACTAGGTGGAGGGACTTAAGCTGGGAGGCAGATAGCAGCAAGGGCTTTCTACAGTGGGAGACAAGAGCCTCTCACTGGTCCATCTCCTTTGTTAAGAAAGGAGATGCTTATTACAGCTGGAGGAATGGTGTTGAGACCACAGAAACGACTTCCCATGAAAGAACTTCCCAGCCGGGCACGGTGGCTCACGCCTGTAATCCCAGCACTTTGGGAGGCTGAGGCGGGTGGATCACAAGGTCAAGAGATCAAGACCATCCTGGTCAACATGGTGAAACCCCGTCTCTACTAAAAATACAAAAAAATTAGCTGGGCACAGTGGCGCGTGCCTGTAATCCCAGCTACTCAGGAGGCTGAGGCAGGAGAATTGCCTGAACCCAGGAGGCGGAGGTTGCGGTGAGCCGAGATTGCGCCATTGCACTCCAGCCTGGGTAACAAGAGTGAAACTCTGTCTCAAAAAAAAAAAAAAGAAAGAAAGAAAGGACTTCCCATGACTAGAGATGAGAGCAAGAGAGTACAGAAGCTGTTAAAGAGTCAGGGTCCCTGGTAGGGCGAGTCCAGGCAGCCTCCACAGTGACCTCTGCCTCTTGATCACAGTTCAAAGAGGAAATCTCCCGGAGGTTTAAGGCTCAGCAGGATCAGCTGGTCCTGATCTTCGCAGGCAAGATCCTCAAGGATGGGGACACACTGAACCAGCATGGAATCAAGGACGGGCTCACTGTCCATCTGGTCATCAAGACCCCTCAGAAGTAAGTTCAGGAGCAGAGCAGATCCAGCTTCTCACTGGGCCTCCCAGTCTGATACTTTCTCACTCATTGCTCAGCTGTACCCAGAAGGCCTATCTATGCTGAGGCCCCAGCAGGTAGCTCCTAGATGAATATGATCTCATCTCTAGGGGAGGAGAAGCTGATTTACCACTCCCAGAATGCCCTGAAGACAGATAATAGTAGCTGCTTTCTCCCTCTCCCTGGTGTGCTGACTGCCCCTCAGCCATCCCCCAGCCCCAGCATCAAGGCTGCTCAGGAGGAGGCTTGGGTTAAAACAGTAGTCCCATGGCAAGCACAGAGATTGTCCCAGTACCTTCCCTCTTCTAGTGCTCACTCCAACTAGGATTCTCCTTTCTCTGTCCTCAGGGCTCAAGATCCAGCCGCTGCCACTGCTTCCTCCCCTTCCACACCTGACCCTGCCTCAGCACCCTCCACCACGCCTGCTTCACCCGCCACCCCTGCACAGCCCTCCACCTCTGGCAGTGCCTCTTCGGATGCTGGCGGTGGAAGCCGGAGGAGCAGTGGGGGGGGGGCCCTCTCCAGGGGCTGGAGAGGGACCCCCCAGTGCTACTGCGTCCATACTGTGTAAGCCCTCAGAGAGGAGAACACAATCTTGTTTGGGGTTGGGGAGTTGGGGAACGCCTAGAGGAGGGAGAAGCATGGTTCCTGCCCCTGCTCTGATGGGGATAGGGGACTCCATAGAGTTTCAGACATTGATATTTGATTCAAGCTGGGAAGGAAACTAGTCTGAGGAGTTCCCAGAGGTGGGGACAATGGCTAAGAGTTAGGAGTTGGGGGAGAAATGGGGTTGGGGATGTGGAGAACCCTGGGTAAAGAGAGTGGAAGACCCTGTGAGTCTGGGGAAAAGTTGGATCCAGCAGTAGCCAGATGGGCTACTCATTCAACCATTGCTGGTTGCCTTCTCTCTGCTCAGTTCTGTGTTTGGCACAGCCTCAGCCTTCAGAGAGGTCTCAGCCTAGTAGGCTCACATTTTTTTGCCAGCAATGGATCAGGGCCGGGCTGTGGGAGTGATTGGAAGAGGGACGTGTGAGAAGCATTTGGGGCCTGTCATGGAGACCTGAATTCAGTAGCTCTGGCTAGGAGAGGAATGGGCTCTTGTGGCAGACTGTGACCCTGCCCCCTTCCCACAGCTGGCTTTGGGGGCATCCTGGGGCTGGGCAGCCTGGGCCTGGGCTCTGCCAACTTTATGGAGCTGCAGCAGCAGATGCAGAGGCAGCTGATGTCCAATCCTGAGATGCTGTCACAGATCATGGAGAACCCCCTGGTCCAGGATATGATGTCGAACCCTGACCTGATGCGTCACATGATCATGGCCAACCCCCAGATGCAGCAGCTGATGGAGCGGAACCCCGAGATCAGCCACATGCTCAACAACCCTGAACTCATGAGGCAGGTGGGTATGAGAGGGCTGGAGAGCTGGAGGACACTGGTGCCCAGCCATGCCCTGCTCAGCCTTTCCTTCCTTGTCCTACATTGATTTGTCCACTTGTGTATTCAGCAGTTTTGAACACTGGAGGTACAGCGATGAAAAGACAGGCCTAGCTTTTCAGGAATTCCAGTGTCAAAGGGAAGTGGGACAAGTAAACTGGCAATTAGCATACCGTGTGGTCAGTGCTATTGGAAGGATAATCACAGGATCCCCTAGGAGCATAGAGAAGAGCTCCTGACCCTACCCTGGGGCTTAGAGGAGGAATGTCACCAAGAAGAAATGGCACCAAGCTGAGACCCAAAGGAGGAAGACAACCAGGGGGAAAAAAAGACTAGAGCATTCAGGGCCTAGGGACAGCACTTATAAAGGCTTGGGAGTAAAAGATGTATGGTAGGTTGTCTGGGGAGCACTGTGGCTGGGCAGGGCCCAGTGGGGAAGGTAGACCCAGGGGACACTGTTGTGATGTTGCTCTTTGGGAGTTCCATCTCACGGTTAGCTCCACCAGAGGACCAAGATAGATGATCTTCCCAGCAGAGCTATGGACACCAGTGCTGGACTCGCCAGAAGATAACTCCTATAAGGTCAAGGATTTGTGAGTGTTTTGTTCACTGTCTAGAACACTACCTGGTGCATGACAGTCACTCAGTAAATATTTATTGAATGAATGAATTACAGGACAAGAAATCAGAGTTCTGTGAGGCTAGGCATATCCATTATAAAGGTGTCTTAGAAGAGGCAAGTGTGGAGCAGATTTGGGAAGAAGGAGAGGGGAGTTATTCCAGGTTGGATGGCAACAAGAAGTAGTTATGCTCATTTCTCTGTGATGAACTCCCCTGGGGTTGATACAGGTCACCCCTTACTGAGAATGAGCCAATAGCTCCATAGAAGGAAGTCCCCATCCTCCATGTTTCTCAAGGTTCAGGCAGGCCGAAGACTTGGGGGTGGGGATTAGAGGGCGTCAGTAGCTTTACTCCAGCTTGAGTCCTTTCCTTCCCCAACTTGCAGTCATTTACCAGGAATCACAGTATGATCTTAGATCAACCCACCTGGTTTGAACACTATCTTCACTCAGTGACTGTGTGTCCCAGGCCAGCAAGTCAGTTAACATCTCTGAGCCTATTTGCTCACCTGCAAAATAGGGACAGAAATTGGTTATCATGGAGTTTACATGACTTGAATTCTGTAAACTACTTGGCCCTGTGCCCATATATAGTAGGTGCTCAGTAGATGTTAATTTTCTCTTCCGCCTCCTCCCCTTTCTTTCTGTGTCCCTTCTGACTCAGTTTCCTTGTGCTCCCTGATATTTCTTTGGACATTCTGAGCCTAAGGGAGGGAAGCTGCTGCCCTCACTTCAGCTGGGATCATTGTCCTCAACTAGAAAAAGCCAACCAAAATACCCACAGGGAAACAAGGTTGGAGCCAAGATTACAGAAGAGGAAGGAAGTCCAGTTCACTCTACTCCCTGTCACTGTGGGGTAGTTCCAGGGCCCTGGTCCTCATCCTGACACAGACCCCCCTTCTGAAGACCCACCCTTTTCCTAGCTTGGTGCTCCTCTGGCTCCAGGGCCCATCTTGTCTCTCTCCCTTCTCAGACAATGGAGCTTGCTCGGAATCCAGCCATGATGCAAGAGATGATGCGGAACCAAGACCGGGCCCTGAGCAACCTCGAGAGCATCCCTGGAGGGTATAATGCCCTCCGGCGCATGTACACAGACATCCAGGAGCCCATGTTCAGTGCTGCCCGGGAACAGGTGGGATTAAGGGCCAAGGTAGTGGGTTGGGCTGTCTGGGCTCAAGATTCCCTACCCCCACCCCAGGCAAACCTGGGTCTGCTCTTCTTTCTTTCCCCAGTCCCCTGAGGGGTGGGCCTTGGCTTGAAGGCAGTTCTCAACAGTGCATATCCGGGGATGGTCCAACTTGGCATGGATAAAAGATAAGCAGAGGTCCTTGTGGAAGTGGGTGAGGTGTAGCAGACAAAGAAATTGACATTGTTTGAGAAACTTCTTGTACCAGGGGCTCAAAGGTCACGCGACAGGCCTGAGGTCAGACGCCAGCCCTGATACAGCATGTCTCAAGTATGGTCCGTGGATCCCCTGCATCAGGATCACCTGGGGAGCTTGTTAATAATGGGAATCTTGGTCCCCACCTTTGAGCTACTTATTGAATCCATTTTTAGGGTTGGGCCCCAGGATTATGCACTTTAAAAAATGCTTTATGATTACTATTCAAGTACACGCAAAAAAAATAGATAAAAATATAGCATCTTTAAAATCAATGTTGCTCTAACATGTTGCCATATGTAACTTCAATGCCCTTTTGTTTTTTAAAAAAATTTAATTTTACGTTAAACACATTCTACGTCTATATATTTGAAAATTCATATAACTCAATCAAGACAGTTGAAGGTGAGCAAAAATAAAAAAAATTAAAAAAAAAGGAAAATTCAAAAGTTACACAAATAAACAAGAGTATTCCAAAAAAAAGTTTGGAAAAGTATATAGGCCAAAAAAAGATTTACAGAAGGAACCCCTCTGTTTCCATCTCCCAGCCACCTCTTGTCGACCAGTAGAAGAAAGAGGTGGTAACATTAGTTACCCAGTGGTAACTAATGTTGTTAGTATTTTTCATATTTTCCTAGACATATTTAATATTTGCAAATAAGGTAGAGTTGTAGCCTTCACAAACCCCTCTCCTCTTCTTTTTTTCTCTCTGGAGGTAACGACTATGCTGAGGGTAGAGTTTATCATTCTGATTCTCTTATTACCTGTGTGTATGTGTGTAAACATGTCTATATTATCATATTTTTAAATATGAGGTGGTATCATGCTGGTCTTATTTTAATTTGCTTTTTGCTTTTTTTTTCCCCCCCGAGATGGAGTTTTGCTCTTGTTACCCAGGCTGGAGTGCAATGGCGCGATCTTGGCTCACCGCAACCTCCGCCTCCTGGGTTCAGGCAATTCTCCTGCCTCAGCCTCCTGAGTAGCTGGGATTACAGGCACACGCCACCATGCCCAGCTAATTTTTTGTATTTTTAGTAGAGACGGTTTCACCATGTTGACCAGGATGGTCTTAATCTCTTGACCTCATGATCCACCCGCCTCAGCCTCCCAAAGTGCTGGGATTACAGGCATGAGCCACCACGCCCGGCCTTTTTTTTTTTTTTTTTAAGAGATAGGGTCTCACTCTGTTTTTCAGGCTTGAGTGCAGCAGCTCAATCATAGCTCACTGTAGCCTCCAACCCTGGACACAAGGCATGTGGCACCATACCAGGCTAATTAAAAACATTTTTTTGTTGAGATGGGGTCTCTCTGTGTTGCTCAGGCTGGCCTCAAATTCCTGGCCTCAAGCAATCCTCCCATCTCAGCTTCCCAACATGCTGGGATTACAGGTATTGAGCCACTGCACCTGTCCTGAAAATTTTTTTAAATCAAAGTACTGCATGCACTTGATTAAGAAAAATCAATAGTTGGAAAAATGCTTATATGAAGAACTCCTGTGAATTCTGATGCACACTAAGTTATGAGAACCACTCTTGGCATCAGCAACCTGGGTTCACATACATGCTTCATCACTTCCTTTATCTTTCTTTTTTTTTTTTTTTTTTTTTTTTGAGATGGAGTCTCACTCTGTCACTCGGGCTGAAGTGTAATGGCATGATCTCTGCTCACTGCAACCTCCATCTCCCAGGCTCAAGCAATTCTCCTGCCTTAGCCTCCCAAGTAGCTGGGATTACAGGTGCCCACCAACACAACTGGCTAATATATTGTATTTTTAGTAGAGATGGGGTTTCATTATGTTTGCCAGGCTGGTCTCAAACTCCTGAGCTCGTGATCCACCTGCCTTAGCCTCCCAAAGTTCTGGGATTACAGATGTGAGCCACTGCCCAGCCCGCCCTGCCCAACCTTACGCCCTGCCCTGTGTTGCCTCCTGCCCCCTGTGCCCTGCCCTGCCCTGCCTAAAACTGAGAAACTTTAACAATGTTTAATTCATTTAAAAATGACAATTTATTACAAGTTGGTGGGGCGCAGTGGCTCACACCTGTAATCCCAACATTTTGGAAGGCTGAGGTACATGGATCACCTAAGGGCAGGAGTTTGAGACCAACCTGGCCAACATGGCAAAACCCCATCTCTACTAAAAATACAAAAATTAGCTGGGCATGGTGGTGGGTTCCCATCATCCCCGGGACTCAGGAAGCTGAGGCAGGAGAATCGCTTGAACCTGGGAGGTGGAGGAACAAATTTATTACAAGTTAACATAAATAACATTCTTTTGAAAAATAACTTCATTTTCCAAAACCAAACTTTAGAGGGGAGTGTGGCCTTGTTTTACAGTTTTGCAGTCCTCTTTGATGTCTGGCTTACTATAAGACAGCTGGTTCTCAGATCTGCATTCCGTTTGCAATGTCACATGCCGTGTAAGCTTTGGAAAACTCCACTGTGTCCTCATGAGAGAATAAGAGTTAAAAGGGCAAATTAATGTCTTACAATTATGAAAACAGGGCCAAGTGCAGTGGCTCATACCTGTAATCCCAGCACTTTGGGAGGCCGAGGCAGGTGGATCACCTGAGGTCGGGAGTTCGAGACCAGCCTGACCAACATGGTCTCTGTGCCAGATGTAGTGGCACATGCCTGTAATTCCAGTTACTCAGGAGGTTGAGGCAGGAGAATCGCTTGAACCGGGAGGCAGAGGTTGCAGTGAGTCAAGATCGTGCCATTGCACTCCAGCCTGGGCAACAAGAGCGAAACTTTATCTCAAAAAAAAAAAAGAATTATGAAAACAATTCTAACCCTTGCAGGGGTCCCAGGACCACACTTTGAGAACTGTATTAGGGGAGTATTATAAGCATTAAAATAAATGTGTCAGGCACATAGTAGGCGCTCAATAAATGATAGTTGTTATCATTGTGGATAGTTCAGGAAAAGATTTTGTCCTTAGAGTGTACTAGGAAGAACAGAGGGGCCCAAAACAGAATGACAGAGTGGGGTGAGGTGCTAGGCAGGTATCAGAATGGGAAGTCTGAAACAGGGACAGGGGCTGAAACCATGGAGCATGAACCCTGGCCTGTGAGTTCTGTTATCTGAACAGGCATCTGGTAAGGTGAAGGAAACCCAGCTCAGAGTAGGAGAATGCTTGGTCAGCCCCGGTCCCCATGACCCACTTTGAATAAACAGGAAAAGCAGCTCAATGATGAAGTTCTATGGTGGGGAGGGGCTGAAGTGGGACCACCTGGGAACTCAGGAGAGGAGCTGCTGAGCTCTTAAGACCACGAGAAAGGCTGAGTAGGGAAACTGAGTCTGGGACTCCCTCAGCCAGAGCTCTGTCCTAGATGCTGGAGGGGAGGAGGTTCTGGTGTTGCCTTTGGGCAGCACACCTGAGATATCCTGGAGAACACAGTGAGGAGCCTGGTGGGGTGAGGGGGACCAGAGGTAAACTGAGGCCTGTTCAGCTGAAGCAGCCAGTGTGTAGAGGTAGGCTTTGGGGTGGGAGGGGTAGACCTAGAGAAGGCATCTTCTGCCAGAGGTAGATTCTGCAAGGGGGTGGCCATTGTGTGCCTAGATGGACAGAATGCCAGGTAGGGGGGTGGGCACAGTGGCTCACACCTGTAATCCCAGCACTTTGGGAGGCCGAGGTGGGTGGATCACGAGGTTAGGAGATCGAGACCATCCTGGCCAACATGGTGAAACCCTGTCTCTACTAAAAATACAAAAATTAGCTGGGTGTGGTGTTGCCTGCCTGTAATCCCAGCTACTCAGGAGGCTGAGGCAAGAGAATCACTTGAACCAAGGAGTCAGAGAAACTGTGGAGTGAGGGAAAGGTACTGGAGAGTTAGGATTAGTCCAAGGAGGCTGTGGAAAAAGATCTGGGTTCAAGTGGAGAGCCAGGTTTGAGAGCCCACTCCCATTAAACCAGTAGTCACTTATTGAGCACCTACTAGTGTCAGGCCTGGGGGTCCAAAGGCAAATCTGACATTGTCTCTGCCCCTTGAGGTACAGGAAAACAAATATTTTGCTATACAATGGGAAAAGCATGTGTAAAGTGCAGTGGGTTACATAGGAGATGATTAGAAACCAAATACTGAAAGCCACCAGCAGGGATGGGAAGTCTTCAATTTTCTCAGGGGTTCAGTTATCTAGTCACTAGCATCAGCTAGCTCCTACCCTGTGGAGCAAGGGAGAAGCTATCCATTGCTGGGCAAAGAACTGAACTCAGGGCCTCCGAGGTCTTAAATCTCTCTTCCTTTTCTGGGGAAGGGGAGGCAATTAAGTGAGAGGAGAGAAAGGGCCTAGCTCTTGTCCCTGGATTTGTTTCAGTCCTTAACCCGAAACCTTTCCCTCCTCCCAGTTTGGCAACAATCCCTTCTCTTCCCTGGCCGGGAACTCCGACAGCTCATCCTCCCAGCCTCTGCGGACTGAGAATCGAGAGCCCCTCCCTAACCCCTGGAGCCCCTCGCCCCCCACCTCCCAGGCCCCCGGGTCCGGTGGGGAGGGCACCGGAGGATCGGGGACCAGCCAGGTGCACCCGACAGTCTCGAACCCCTTTGGGATCAATGCGGCTAGCCTGGGGTCAGGTATGTCCTAGGGTGGAAGGAGCTTAGTGGGGTCACCAGGGCAGCCCCTCTGCCCCAGGACTGAGTGGGGTTGATACTGCCCCAGGATTTTGAAGACAGAGGTGAGACTTTTGAGGCCACAGAGTGGGCTCTGCGGTCTGGGATAGTGGCCTCACTCTTTGGAGGTGAGGGCTGGTTCTGGCCATGTCCTGATACCCCTGGGAGTGACCTAAGTAATGGCTCATGTGTAAACCAGGCCCCACGTCCTAAGCTCCATGAGCACCTCTGGTATTACCCAGTGTAAAAGGGTCAGACTGCTGTGGGGAGAGGGAGCTTGAGAAGAATCAGGGCAGACTTGGGGAGAGGCAGATGTGAGGCTGGGGGAAAGGGATGTGCAGGCTTGCCATGTACAGAAGAACAGGTTATACACTGCACAACCCGAGGGGATGCCCCATTTATCTGTACTATGACTGTACACATGGCCTGGGGGATGTCTTTAGCAGGTGCCCTAATTTCTCTGCACTCCGGGGGATATCTTGATTGGGAAAGTTCCTTCCCTCTGGGTGTTTCAGTTTCCTTATTTGTAAAATAGGGACTGGAACTTGATCCATGGTTTTAAAATTGTGCTCCTGTGTCCTGAAAGGGTCTTCATCTCCAGGATGAGGAAGGACCCAGTGGGAGAGGCTCCAGGCCTCCTCTCCCAGCTCCAACCAGACCATTACCATACTTGGTATCTGAGTGAGCTTTGGCATGAGGAAAGGGTCTCTGCTGCTAAGACAAGTTTGATCTAGATAATATTTAATCATTTCTTTCCAAAGTGGACATAATTTGAGCTTATGGCAGCAACAGTCCAGAGGAGCATAAATCAGGCCTAGTTCCTAGCTGGCTTGTCCTTAGCGAGTCCATGGAAAAGGGGCGAGGCCAAAGCAGGGCAAGATGACCTTGGAGTTAGGAGAGTTGGACTCATGCCACAGTCCTAGGGTGCCCACTGGACCACTGCCTTTCTGAGTTGTGTAGCCATCCGGTATCTGAATGAGGTAGATTGAAGTGAGGCCTTTGGTTTCCATCTGGACCCTTTCTCTCCTGTTTTCTTTTTTCCACCTTGTCCTAGGGATGTTCAATAGCCCAGAAATGCAAGCCCTCCTCCAGCAGATCTCTGAGAACCCACAGCTGATGCAGAACGTGATCTCAGCGCCCTACATGCGCAGCATGATGCAGACGCTTGCCCAGAACCCCGACTTTGCTGCTCAGGTACCGAACAGCATGAGGAGAGTGTTGTTGGGGAGAGAGTTCCCCTTGGTTAGGGACAGTTTCTCGTGGTCAAAACACTGTGGAGCTAGACTGCCTGTGTTTGCATCCCAGGCTCTGCCACTTCCCAGCTGTGTAAGCTAAGCAAGTTATTTAGCCTCCCAGTTTCTTCATCTGTAAAATGATAATAATAGTTCCTACCTCCTAGAGTTGTGAGGATTAAGTGAGTTAATACACGTTAAGTTAGAACACAGCGTGTAACAAAGTAAGCTCTATGTACCTGGAAATGTTAGCTTCATCAGACCCAGGGCTGAACAGCCTGACTCCTCATACTCTTCACTGTCCAGAGCATATTTCCATTTCCTCTCACTGTCCCACTTAGGCCTTCAGGATACTTTGAGATCCCTGGAGAAGCTGGCCAGATTTCCTACAGTGGTAGGGGGTGCCCAGGGAGTCTGAGGCTGTGGGGAAATGCTTTGGGTGGAAAGGCCCAGGTCTCCCCCTACTACCTTCACCCTGGCAGATGATGGTGAATGTGCCGCTCTTCGCGGGGAACCCCCAGCTGCAGGAGCAGCTCCGCCTGCAGCTCCCAGTCTTCCTGCAGCAGGTGAGTGAGGAGCCTACATGGGTGGAAGTTGAGGGCATAGGCCTTGAAGCCCAATGGGTGGAAATTAAATTGGGGCAGAGCTTGACTCTGGACTCCTGGTTGAGGTTGTCTCCTCTTTCCTGCCACCTCCCGATGCCTTTCTCTGCTTATTTCCCACCAGATGCAGAACCCGGAGTCACTCTCCATCCTTACCAATCCCCGAGCCATGCAGGCATTGCTGCAGATCCAGCAGGGACTACAGACCCTGCAGACCGAGGCCCCTGGGCTGGTACCCAGGTGAGGGCAGGGGGGCAGGTGGGCAGCAAGGTTCTGGCAACCCCTCCTCTTCTCTCTGCCACACTCTCAGCAGCCTTTGTGTCTGAGGGTCTGTTTTCCTGTTTCTTCCAACTGCTTCTCCTGGATCTTATGTTCTCATCCCTCTTTTGGATGCCATCTCCTACCTCTTGGTCTGTCTTGCCTACAGCCTTGGCTCCTTTGGGATGTCCCGGACCCCAGCACCCTCAGCAGGCAGCAATGCTGGGTCTATGCCTGAGGCCCCCACTTCCTCGCCAGCCACACCAGCCACATCTTCTCCAACAGGGGCTTCCAGCGCCCAGCAGCAGCTCATGCAGCAGATGATCCAGCTTTTGGCTGGAAGTGGAAACTCACAGGTACATGAGGCAGTGGGGACAGGTGCTGGGACCACCACTTTGATCCTGGGAGGTTTCAAGGGAAGCCGCAGAGTGGAGGCGGTAGGGCAAGCTTGGGAGTCAGGTCCTCTTCTGCCACTTTCTAGCCTTGGGCAGGTTACCGATCCTCCGAGTTCAGTTTGTACAGATGTAAAATAGAGATGAGCAGAGTAATGGTACTTACCGTGCGTTACAGACTGTTCTAAACGCTTGAAGTATCAGAGCTTGTTTCCCACATTCCTCACAATAGCCTCGTGAGAAAGCGATTATTATTTCTGTGTTAAAGAGGAGGGAGACTGAGGCCCAGAAAGGTTAAGTGGTTTGCTCACTTACATAGCTAGTAGATAATAAAACCGAGACCCAAACCCAGGCATTCCACCTCCCGAATTCACACTGTGCCATTTCTGCTTGTATCAGAGGATCCTATTCATAATTAAAACAGCCCCCATCTCTGAGACTCTGGGGAGGGGGATTTTGTGAGGTGAGGTAACCAAAGTCCTGGGAAAGTCAAGGCCAGCGGCTAGCAGGAGGGGCAGGGATGACCTGCCTCGAGTGAGCCTCTTAACCCTTCTCTGACCTCTGACTCATTTGGAAAAGCCATTCAACCAAAAGGTATGTTTACCCAGCTTTGTGCAAAGCACAAGAGCTAGACTAGGTGATCTCCAGTCCCGGTCCAACCCTAGTTAGATTCTGTGGACTGTGAAGAGAAGCAACATGGAGCACTGGAAAGAGCTTTTTCTTTTTTTTTGAGATGGAGTTTTGCTCTTGTTGCCCAGGCTGGAGTGCAGTGGAGTGACCTCAGCTTACTGTAACCTCTGCCTCCCGGGTTCAAGTGATTCTCCTGCCTCAGCCTCCCTAGTAGCTGGGATTACAAGCACGCACCACCACACCCAGCTAAGTTTTTGTATTTTTAGCCGTCAACACTATGTTGTCTAGGCTGGTCTCAAACTCCTGACCTTAGGTGATCCACCTGCCTCGGCCTCCTAAAGTGCTGGGATTACAGGCGTGAGCCACCGCACCCAGCTGGAAAGGGCTTTTATACTGCCCTTTCCAAGTCAGGGGGCCTTGGCAACTAACTGACTTGCTCTCTGACCCCAGGCAAGTCCTGTCTTTCTCTGGATCCAACATTCTTCCCTTCAACACCAGGTGGACAGTGCTTGCTGGACTCTTTCTAGTGCATAATCTAGGCTTGTGCTCTCTAAACACCCCTTGGGCATACATTTACGGGAGATATTTAGAAGAATCACAAGAATGAAAAGCCACGCCCAGGAACGTGGCTCATGCCTGTAATTCCAGTGCTTTGGGAGGCAGGCAGGATTGCCTGAGGCCCAGAGTTTGAGACCAGCCTGGGCAATGCAGGTAGACCCAGTCTGAAAAATTTTTTTATTAAAAAAGATTTTTTTCTGGCCGGGCGCAGTGGCTCAAGCCTGTAATCGCAGCACTTTGGGAGGCCAAGGTGGGTGAATCACTTGAGGTCAGGGGTTCAAGACCCACCTGGCCGACATGGTGAATCCTCATCTCTACTAAAAATATAAAAATTAGCTGGCCTTGGTGCCATGTGCCTATAATCCCAGTTACTCAGGAGGCTGAGGAAGGAGAATCGCTTAACCCCAGGAGGCAGAGGTTTCAGTGAGCCAAGATCATGCCACTGTACTCCAGCCTGGGGAATAAGGGCAAAACTGCCTGAAAAAAAAAAAAAACAAAAAACAAAACTAGCGTAGTGGCTTATGCCTGTAATCCCAGCAGTTATGGAGGCCAAGGCAGGAGGATTACTTGAGACTAGCCTGGGCAACATAGCAAGACCCTGTCTCTACTTTCTTTATTTTTTTACTTTATTTTCATTTTATTTTTTTGAGATAGTCTCACTCTGTCCCCCATGAGTACAATGGCACAATCTCAGTTCACGGCAACCTCTGCCTCCTGGGTTCAAGCAATTCTCCTGCCTCAGCCTCCCTAGTAGCTGGGACAACAGGCTCCTGACACCATGCTCAGCTAATTTTTGTATTTTAGGATATTTGTATTCAGGATATTACTGTGTTGGCCAGTCTGGTCTCAAACTTCTGACCTCTGGTGATCTACCTGCCTGAGCCTCCCAAAGTGCTGGGATTGCAGGCATGAGCCACTATGCCTGCCTTTTTTTTTTTTTTTTTTTTCAGATGGAGTCTCACTCTGTCGCCCAGGCTGGAGTGCAGTAGCGTGATCAAGCTTACTGCAACCTCCGCCTCCCGGGTTCAAGCGATCTTATACCGCAGCTTCCCAAGTAGCTGGGACTACAGGTGTGTGTCACCACACCTGGGTAATTTTTTGCATTTTTAGTAGACATGGGCTTTTGCTGTGTTGGGCAGGCTGGTCTTGAACCCCTGACCTCAGGCAAACTGCCAGTCTTGGCCTCCCAAAGTGCAAGGATTATAGGTGTGAGCCACCGTGTCTGGCCAAAAAAAAATTTTTTTAATTAGCTTGGCATAGTGGTATACACCTATAGCCCCAGCTCAAACTTCTGACCTCAGGTGATCTGCCCACCTCAGCCTCCCAAAGTGCTGGGATTACAGGCATAAGCCACTGTACCCAGTCGGGAAGGGCTTTTATACTCCAAGTCTTGGCGACTGACTTGCTCTGTGACACCAGGCAAGTCCTGTCTTTCTCTGGATTGAACATTCTTCCTTTTAACACCAGGTGGACAGTCTTGCATTTGCATACACAATCTTATGATCCATCTCTAAGGTGTCCTAGCCCTTGTATTCTCCATTCTCATTCTAGCAGTTGTTCCTCTACTTAACATATAGGGAGGCTAAGATGGGAGGATCACTTGAGCCCAGGAGATAGAGGCTGCAGTGAACTCTGATTCTTGCCACTATATTCCAGCCTGGGTGCAAGACCTGGCTCAAAAAAAAGGAAATACTTCTCTTTTATGAATAAATGGTTGTTGATCAGTGAAACAAAATTAAATCGCTTCTTAACTAGGACCTTCCTCTGGCCTTTCATATGGCTGTACATGTGATGACTATTAGGAGGGGCTTGGAGGTCACGCTAAGCATGCATCTTATTTGACCACAGAGCCTTGGTTTTTGGAGTGCCTGTTAACATCTCCAGTGTTCATGGAAAGTATTGAGGACTATACGCTGATCTAGGCTTATCAGTTACCTTGAAATTCTAAAAAAGGTATCTGCCTGCCTTATTATTACACAGTTATTTAGAACTTGGGACCTAGGCTCCTGGGCCCCCATTTGCAGCTCATCTTCCCTATCCTGATTGCCTCTAAGGATATTAGAGAAGTCCTGCTGGTCTTAGAAACCCTTCATTGGAATAGGGCCCCCAAGATTGGTCCTGTGCCCACTTCACAAGGCCTATCCCCTCCAGGTGCAGACACCAGAAGTGAGATTTCAGCAGCAACTGGAGCAGCTCAACTCCATGGGCTTCATCAATCGTGAGGCCAACCTGCAGGCTCTGATTGCCACAGGAGGGGACATCAACGCAGCTATTGAGAGACTGCTGGGCTCCCAGCTCTCCTAATCCCTCGGCCCATGCCTCCTGCCTCTCCCTTCCCTCGATGTCAGCGTTTGGTTCCTCTGTCAGCCCTTCCCCCCTGCGGCTTGTCACCCCTTCTGTCTTCTCCCTCATCCTCTCCAAACAGCAGGGTGACTTGAGAGGCGTGGGCTCCAACCCCTTAGCTCTGTCTGAGAATTATGGTTTTGCTTCTACATCTCTAACAGAATCTTCTCTCCTGGTCTCCTTGAGCAGAGCCACTTAAACAGTTTTCCCAGTTTCACTGATCGACCCTACCTCTTTGCCCCACGCCACCTTTTGCAATCTTTAAACTCGCAGTGGTAGTGCAGAGTCAGAGGAGGAACCAGCTGTCTGATTTACTGGAACATAGTCTTCCATTTATACCACTAGGGTTTTGTCTTATGTTTACTTTTGGTAACTCTCTTCCTCCTTTTGCTCGCTACTCCCCACCCCTAGCCCAACCAATGCTAGAATTTCTCGCTCTGAAGGAGGAGCAGGTGAAGCAGCTGGTAATTTTCCTCCTCAGCCCCTATTCTGGTCTCTTCATTCAGCACTTTTTCGTGGGCACTGTTGGGAATTCCAGGGTAAGGAGGAAGATACCTGTTCTCTCTCTCTGAAGAGGGAGATGAGACAGCCCTCTGGACAGGAATGAACAAAGCCTGGACCAGCCCTGTGGAAATTGGTGCGAAAAAGGAGGGAATGAGGTTATTCAGAGGAAGGGAATAGGGGAGGCAGCCTGAGTAAAAGGCTTGGAAGTTGGAATTAACAGTGGGGAACAGAAGCACTCACAGGTCTTTTAGGCAGAAGAATCCAGGCGCAAGCTGGCAGAAGAGACTCAGAGATGCTAATGGATTTGAACTGAAGAAAAGGGCTCAATGAAGCTGAGCACCATGCCCCACAAGGGGTCATATTGGCTTCATTTCCTCAAATACACGTGCTTATATGCACACAGACATTTCCGTGGACCCAGGACTTGCCTGTGTCCCCAGGCACCAGTAATTTGAGCCCTCCTGAAAGGACATGAAGGGGATTGGGGTCTGTGAACGGTAGGGAAGTGCGTGTGTGTGCGCACATGTTGGTGAGAAGTGGATGATTTGTTGGTTTCCGGTTCAGAGTGCTCGCACCACCAGAGACAAGTGGGTAAAAGTATCAGTCCATTGCAGGAATACATATCCGGGAGAGCTAGGTCCCTTGGGCCTCTGGCTGCTGGTTAACCTAGAGGTAGTGTGGGTACCCTTTCTGAAGCTGTCAGGACTGTTACCAGCACCCATATCACCTGTCACTGCCTTGTGGGAATAGTAGAGGGTTTATTTCCCTCCAGGCCAGAAAATTTTCTTTGAGGAAGGAGAGGAGAGGGTGGCAATGATGCCTTTGATCTGGAATTGGACATTGCTCTGTCAGAGCACAGAGGAGGCTCATATCACCTCTTCCCTCTGCTACTTGGCCCAGCTGCTTGGAGGACCAACCCCACGGCTGAGAATATGACAGCAAGAGGAACAGAGTTGGCTCCAAGTGGGAAAGGGTCCCGAGCAGTCCAGAGAGGATGTCCATGTGGCTTTCCCTCCCTGCCTCCCCCAGCTCCCACACTGGCCTTTGTAAATAAATGGTGTGGTCTTTGTTGTGAGAGTGTGTTGGTATTTGTTTTTTGAGGAAGAAGAGGCTGGCTGAAGGCAACTTCTTGGTTTTACAGGGCAAAAAATGGGATCTAGAGGAATTCGAGGTTTGGTTCAGTTACTAAAGATGGTAAGAAATATCAAACGTGTTCCTAGGTTAACAATATCATATATATATATATATGTTTGTATTAAAAGTGTCCAAGAACACACCATTTCGCTACAGCCTGGGCAACAAGAGCAAAACTCCATCTCAACAAAACAAAAAAATCTTAGATTTTAGCCTGGCAACATAGGGAGACCTCATCTCTATAAAAAATTTAAAAATTAGCCAGGCACCTGGGTGCTGTGGCTCACGCCTGTAATCCCAGCACTTTGGGAGGCTGAGGCAGGTGGATCACAAGGTCAAGAGATCGAGATCATCCTGGCCAACATGATGAAACCCCGTCTCTACTAAAAATACAGAAATTAGCTGGACGTGGTGGCTTGTAGTAGTCCTAGCTACTCAGGAGGCTGAAGCAGGAGAATCACTTGAACTGGGGAAGTGGAGGCTGCAGTGAGGCGAGATCACGCCATAGATGGAGCAAGACTCCGTCTCAAAAAAAGAAAAATTATCCAGGTGTGTTGGTATGAGTCTGTAGTCCCAGCTACGTGGGAAGCTGAGGCAGGAGGATCACTTGAGCCCAAGAAGTCAAGGCTGCAGTGCTGGCATTGTGCCGCTATACTCCAGCCTGGGTAACAAAGTGAGACCCTGTCTCAATAAAATACGTAAATATTGAAGGTTAAGGGATACCTGATGAGGTGTCAGTAAATATCTGACTTTGGAATGGGGAGGATTGCATTCTTCCATTCCCATCCTTAGACCATTGGGTATCTGAGATCTCTTTCCCCACTTCCCCTAAGTCAGGGGTGGTAGAGGAAACTGAATTGTAAGATTACTGTCTTCATCCTCTGATCTTTTGGCAAGATTGCCTTCCTCTTACCTTAGGTTTTAAAAAGTAAAACAGGCCAGGTGTGGTGGCTCACGCCTGTAATCCTAGCACTTCTGGAGGCCAAGGTGGGTGGATCACCTGAGGTCAGGAGTTCAAGACCAGCCTGGCCAACATGGTGAAACCCCATCTTAAAAAAAAAAAAGGAAAACAAAAACTCTTACAGTCAGGTCTTAACGCAAGTGAAGTTTGGTGGTTAATCTTGGGCTGTGACACTGAACCTGGCACTACTGACCATGTAAGTTTGAGGAAGTCTTTTCACACCTGTGGGCTTTTATCTTTCATACAGTGAAGTGATGGACTACAGTTCTGTGGAATATGAATAAGCCATGAGTGGGAGGTTCCACTTTGATAATGGTAGACTAGACCAGTACTCCCACTAGAAATTTTAAAATCTGGGAAAAATATATAAAAAATCTAAAAAGCCTCAAAGGGGGAATAAGATTGACTGGTGACCCAGAGGAGAAAAAAACCTCTAAAGACTGGCTGCCTTTGACCTGGAGGCCAATTAGGGAAAGGTTGCTGAGAGGCTGAGTTGTGATTTCTTTTTTTTCTTTTTCTTTTTTTTTTTTTTTTTGGAGATGGAGTTTTGTTCTTATTGCCCAAGCTGGAGTGCAGTGACGCAATCTCAGCTCACTGCAACTTCCACCTCCTGGGTTCAAGTGATTCTCCTGCCTCAGCCTCCCAAGTAGCTGGGATTACAGGCACCTGCCACCATAACCAGCAAATTTTTGTTTTTTTCTAAAGAAAATTTTACAGAAAAATATTTGTATTTTTGGTAGAGATGGGGTTTCACCATGTTGGCCAGGCTGATCTCAAACTCCTGACCTCAGGTGATCCACTGGCCTCCGCCTCTCAAAGTGCCGAGATTACATGCATGAGCCACTGCACCTGGCCCTGAGCTGTGTTTTTGAAGGCCTTGAAGAAGTGGGAGCTAAATGGACAAAAAGTTAGAATCTGAGGGCCTTTATGTAAATATGTATATGTTTTGTTTTTGAGATGGAGTCTTGCTCTATCGCCCATGCTGGAGTGCAGTGGTGAGATTTTGGCTCATTGCAACCTCCGCCTCCTGGGTTCAAGCAATTCTCTGCCTCAGCCTCTGAGTAGCTGAGATTATAGGCACCTGCCACCACAACCCAGCTAATTTTTGTATTTTTAGTAGAGACGGGGGTTTCACCATCTTGGCCAGGCTGGTCTTGAACTCCTGACCTTGTGATCCACCCGCCCCGGCCTCTCAAAGTGCTGGGATTACAGGTGTGAGCCACTGTGCCCGGCTTTTTTTTTTTTTTTTTTTTTGAGACAGTCTTTGTTGCCGAATCTGGAGCGCAGTGGTGCCATAAGCCAGTAGCTGGGACTATAGGCATGAGCTATCTCGCCCAGCCAGAAAATATATTTTAAGGCAACTAGAGAATAATGACACTTGACTTTCGAAGGAGCAAAAGACTGTCACTTGCATCTCAACAGCCAAGCTAGAAATCAGAATATTGGAATGACATCTTCTTACTAAATCCCAATCTAGGATATTATGCCTAATGAAAATAACTTTGGTTTTTGTTTGTTTGTTGTTTGTTTGGGACAGAGTCTCACTCTGTCACCCAGGCTGGAGTGCAGTGGCATGGTCTTGGCTCACTGCAACCTCAGGAGTTTCTAGGCTCAAGTGATCCTTCTGCTTCAGCCTCCCAAGGAGCTGGAACTACAGGCACACACCACCATGCCCAGCTAATTTTAAAATTTTCTGTAGAGATGGGGTCTCACTATGTTACCCAGGATGGTCTCAAACTGCTGGACTCAATCAGTCCTCCTGCTTTAGCCTCCCAAAATGCTAGGATTACAGGCATGAGCCACCATGCCCAGCCAAAAATAACTTTCAAAAATTAAGGCGAAATAAAGGTATTTTCAATCTACCACAGACTCATATCGAGGGCAATTCTAAAGGGTAATTTTCAGTCATAAAAGAAAAAGTACAGCCGGGAGCAGTGGCTCACGCCTGTAATCCCAGCACTTTGGGAGGCAGAGGCGGGTGAATCACCTGAAGTCAGGAGTTCGAGACCAGCCTGGCAATACGGTGAAATCCCATCTCTACTAAAACCACAAAAATTAGCTGGATGTGGTGGTGTGTGTCTGTAGTCCTAACTACTGGGGCTGAAGCAGGAGAATTGCTTGAACCTGGGAGGTGGAGGTTGCAGTGAGCTGAGATGGCGCCACTGCACTCCAGTCTGGGTGACAGAGCGAAACTCCATCTCAAAAAAAAAGAAATGGAGAACAATAAATGTGTACAAATATAGGTATAGTCTAAACAAACATTGACTGTGTAAAGCGAAAATGATGTCCTGCATTTAAAATATTTAGAGGTCAGGTTCGGAGGCTCATGCCTATAATCCTAGTGTTTTGGGAGCCTAGGTGGGTGAGGATTGTTTGGGTCAGGAGTTCAAGACCTGCCTGGGCCACATAGCAAGCTCTCCATCTCTACAAAAATTTGCCGTGGCTCACGCCTATAATCCCAGCACTTTGGGAGGCCAAGGCAGGTGAATCATGAGGTAAGGAGTTCGAGACCAGCCTGGCCAATATGGTGAAAACCTGTCTCTACTAAAAATACAAAAATTAGTTGGGCATGTAGTCCCAGTTACTTGGGAGGCTGAGCCAGGAGAATAGCTTGAACCCAGGAGCAGATGTTGCAGTGAGCTGAGGTGGAGCCACTGCACTCCAGACTGGGCAACAGAGCAAAACTACGTCTCAAAAAAAAAAAAAAAAAATTAGCCAGCCGTGGTGGTGCATGCCTGTAGTCCTACCTACTTGGGAGACTGAGGCAGGGAATCACTTGAGCCCAAGAGTTTGAGGGTGCAGTGGGCCATGATTACACCACTGGACTCCAGCCTGGGTGACAGAGCAAGACCCTGACTCAAAAATAAAATTTTAAAAAAATGAAATAATAAAATAAAATGGTATAGAGGCCAGGTGTGGTAGCTCTCATTCCTGTAATACCAGCACTTTGGAAGGCCAAGGCAGAAGGGTCGATTAAGCCCAGGAGTTCAAGACCAGCCTGAGCAACATGGGGAAACTCCATCTCTACTAAAAATACAAAAATTAGCCAAGTTTGGTGGTGTGGGATTATAGTCCCAACTACTCTAGAGGCTGAGGTGGGAGGATCCCTTGAGTCTGGGAGGTCAAGGCTGTGGTGAGCACCACACTCCAGCCTGGCCCACAGAGTGAAACTCTTAAAAAAAAAAAAAGAGAGAGAGAGAGGCCAGGCATGGTAGCTCATGCCTGTAATCCTAGCACTTTGGGAGGCCAAGGCAGGTGGATCACCTGAGGTCAGGAGTTTGAGACCAGCCTGGTCAACATGGCATAACCCCATCTCCACTGAAAATACAAAAACTGGCCAGGTGCAGTGGCTCATGCCTATAATCCCAGCACTTTGGGAGGATGAGGCGGGTGGATCACCTGAGGTCGAGAGTTCAAGACCAGCCTGACCAACATTGAGAAACCCGTCTCTACTAAAAATACAAAATTAGCCAGGCATGGTGGCACATGCCTGTAATCACAGCTATTAGGGAGACTGAGACAGGAGAATTGCTTGAATCTGGGAGGAGGAGGTTGTGGTGAGCCGAGATGGCACCATTGCTCTCCAGCCTGGGCATCAAGAGTGAAAATCAGTCTCAAAAAAAAAAAAAATACAAAAACTGGACTGGCGCGGTGGCTCATCCCTGTAGTCCCAGCACCACCCTTCCCCCAGCCTCTGGTAACCATCATTCTACTCTCTACCTCCATGAGATCAACTCTTTTTTTTTTTTAACAGGCACCGCCCCTGGCTGGCCAGTGAGGCGGCGCCTCAAGATCAACTTTTTTGGCTTTCACATATGAGTGACAGCATGCAAGATTTGTCTTTCTGTGCCTGGTTTACTTAACATAATGACCTCCAGTTTCATCCATGTTGCTGCATATGACAGAATTTCATTCTTTTTATGGCTGGATAATATCTCACTGTGTATATACGCCACAATTTTGTGCATGTGTATGAGACA